TCCAAACCCGGTGTGCTCACACGCGTGTTCACTCACGCAAGATACAACCATAGCCTCTCACGCCCTTCTGCCGGCCTGCTGCCTGGCACACTTCGAGGCGGCGCGACGCCCCTCGCACGCCCCTCCCCCAGACTTCCCTCGTCCTCCTGCCTGCGCGCGAGGGGAAGCCACGGCCGCGCGGGCGTCCTCTTCGTGCGTCCCAAGGCTGTGGGAAACACAGGTGTAACACTGACTCTAAGTTAAGCAGCATAATCTTTGAGGCAGACAGTGACCTGCCCCGCCCCCCTCTGGTGATAGCTGCAGGTGGAGAGGGCTAGGCCTCTCCCCTTCCCGTGGTAGCGAGGGGGTGAGGGCTGCGGACGTGGAAGTGTAAGGGTGCAGGCTAGGCTCACCCTTTAGGCCCTGACGCGTGTAGGCGCCACCCTGCTCATTCTTGTAAGCTCCCTCACGGCCCGCCTAACACATGTGACTAAGCTTGTGCTCATATGGTAGGGCGCTGATGATTCTCAGTAGGCCTAGATCAGTGCCAAGTTAGAGTTAGAGTTCTTTACAAATCTCTGTAGAAATGATTGATATTACATTTTCATGTATGGTTGTTTTATGTAAATATATTTTGTTCCATCTATTGTATATATGCACTGTTTTCATATGAATAAAACTGGAACTGGTTGTATTTGTTTCGAAAATATTTGTTTTGATCTTTCCAACTCTTTGAGACCTTGGAATACAAAAGATGAGCGTGATGTGGCATAGCACTGTGTTGCCAGGACGTAACACACGTCGGGCAAGGCTGCAGTGGAGTGACGGCATCCTGGTCGGTGAGCTGCGTCTGCGTAGGTACAGGTAGTGTAGAGGCCACTCCTGGTTGGTTACTGATTGATGTTATGGTACAGTGTAGTGTGGTGACGCACGGCCCTGGGTAGTGTTGTGTAGTGTAGGTGTGCTGCCACCCTCTGGCGCCTCTCCCCGTTTTCACCCCCGCCCGCCGTCTCTTTTCAGATGTGTCCGCCTTGATGGCAATCGCTAATGCGGTGCAGGCGACGGCGCCGTCGGATCGCCCCATCAAGTGCCCATTGTGCCAGAGCATCATCAAGCAGGCACGCAATCTCCGGCGCCATGTGTTCAAGCGGCACTTGCCCGCCGCCAAGCGAGGTGAGATCACGGAGGCGGACGTGAAGAACGTGCTGGAGCGCAAGTTGAAGGCCATCACTGTCACGCCGCTCACGGAGGAGGAGCTGCGGGCGGTGCAACAGCGGACCCGTCGCAAAGGCATGAAGACACCCCGCAAGAAGAAGGGCGTCGCCTCCTTGCCGGACGGTGTCAATGGGTCGAACATTAATGAATCAGAGGTGACAATACGCAAGCTTCCCCAAAAGAAAGACAAAAAGGATAAGGTAGGAGGGATAACAGGCTTGTCTAGCACATCCACTAACTTAACCGGAGAAACCAGTCGCGAGGGCCGAGAGGACATCTTGCAGGAGGCTCTGGCCGCAAGGGACAAAGATATAGCTCCTCAAGATGAGGTCATGGACTTGGCTACGACCCAGCAGCAGTTGCCCCCCATCTCGGTGGTCGTGTCTCACAGTGGCCATTCTGGGGTGCAGGTAGGAACCCAGCCCATGTCTCTCACTGTGACACAGACTGCAGGGGGCGTTCATGCCAGGATACCCGCCGAGGCAGCACTGGGAGCAGGGGTACGCTTGCAGGCTGACTCCCCATTGCCTCTCCACCGTGACCTTCCCACGATGCCGCCGATGGCATTTGAACCACAGGTCACCATCAGTGAAGGTATGGTGACTTATCACACCACCTCCCCCTCCCAAGTTCTGACCCAGACCACTTCTTCCTCCCCGTCGGCGTCGGGTTATACTCCAGCCTCGTATTGGTCCCCTCCAGGAGTCGCAGGCCTTCCAGCAGGTACTTTCCAGCCTCACCAGAGTGTGTTCGCTCCAGCGCACTCGGAGTACTTCGCTGCGGGCGTGCACATGGCACGGCCTGCCTCGCTCGAGCGCATGCAGCAGCACCGACGCAAACCCTACCAGTGAAAGTTTCCTTGGTCTTTGTTTCGGTATTAGTGAAACAAGAGAGTTCTTAGGCCTCCTGCAGCAGGGGTGATCAGGGTTTCCTGCAGATTCAAGACAACAAGAAGGGCAGTGTGCTGACCCTCGAGAAAGCAGGTTTGAGGGGTCACGGTAGCTGTGCCCCGAACACCACTATGTCAGCCTTCAGTAGATATGAGTCTGTGCGTCCATCTGCAACAGATAGACTCTTAGGTGATTATGCATGCAGCCTCCCACCACCACGAATTAATCAAAGTTATCTTTGCTGATTTGTAAAAAAAAAAATGAAAAAATGGTTATTCGTGCAGATCATAATCGGGTAGGAAAAGCTGTTGTAACCGTAGCAGTTCCAGTACGTTTCCGTGACGGGATGGGAAATCCTACGGAATTAGTCACCATTGCAAAAAAAAAAAAAAAAAAAAAAAAAAAAAAAAAAAAAA